GGGTTGGAGGTTAGGGTTTTTATTGTTCAGGGTATAGGGTTTAGGGTTTTAGGTTTTGGGTTTAGGGTTAGGTTTAGGGTTGTGTTTTAGGGTTTAGGGTGTAAGGTTGGGCTTTAGGTTGTTTTGGGTTCAGGGTTTAGGGTTGAAGTAGGGTTTAGGGTTTAGGCTTTAGGGTTTGGGTTACGGCTTAGGGTGTAAGGTTGGACTTTAGGGTGTTTAGGGGTTAGGGTTTAGGGTTTAAGGTTTCGGGGGTTTCCTTTGGGGGTTAGGGTTTTTAGGCTTTAGGGTATGGGGTTTAGGGTTTTAGGTTTAAGGTTTAGGGTTTTTAGGGTTTAGGGTTTAGGGTTTAGGGCTGGCAGTCACAGCGCGCTTGGCCATCACCGTCACCATGAGCGTAAGCGCAAGCGGGCAAGGGAGGCGGGAAAGTCAGCACAGTCTGACTCGAGCTTGATGCTCGAGTGGACCAGGCAGGGGACCCCTAGCTGCACGAGTACCAAGCTCTGGGCCAGTGAGCAAAAAAACCGATTGCCCATGATCCTGCATCGCATCTTTGGAGTCGTCGCATGACGGACTCAAGCACCTCGTCGCGATGCCCCAAAAGCAACCCTGAACCCTAAACCCTAAACCCCAAACCCCAAACCCTAAACCCTAAACCCTAATTAAACCCTAAACCCTAAACCCTAAACATCGTGGCCATCGGAGCCAGCTGACTTTTCAAGGCGGATGTCGCCAGCGCTGTCAGGGCGTAGTCGTAGACCTCATTCGGATCATCAAGATTGACGACCTCGATCCCGGACCTGAACCCTTAACAGTTTCAATAAACTCTAAAGACCTTACTCCAAACCCTATAACCCCAAACCCTAAACCCTAAACCCAAAACCCTAAACCTTAGACACTAAACCCTAAACCCTAAACCCTAGTCCCTAAACCCTGAACCCTGAACCCTAAACCCTCAACCTTTGAACACTTTCGTATCCTTGTGGCCAAACCCTAAAGTCCTAATGAACCCTGCCATCCCAGCCTCCAGCATCTAAACCGGTTTAGGGTTTAGGGTTTAGGGTTTAGGGTTTAGGGTTTAGGGTCTAGGGTCTAGGGTCTAGGGTCTAGGGTTTAGGGTTTAGGGTTTAGGGTTTAGGGTTTAGGGCTTAGGGTTGAGGAGGGCTTAGGGCTTAAGGCTTAGGATGCCTCAAAACCCTCAACCACAAAACGCGCAGGCATCCTCTCACTGTCCGGCGTCTGAGGCCGGAAAGCCTCCGCCACAGGCGCAGGCTTCGGGAATTGGGCACACCAGAAGCCCGACACACCCCAAACCGGAAGCCCTAAACCCTAACCTTAAACCCTAAACCCTAAACCCTAAACCCCAAACCCTAAACCCTAAACGCTGTATTGTGCTTCAAGCTCCGGGGTTTGGAGTTTAAGCTTTGGGGTTGAGGGTCATCTGCAACCTTAAGCCCGAAAACATACCTACCATCCAGGCTCTATGGCTGGGTTTAGGGTTTAGGGTTTTGGGTTTAGGATTTAGGGTTTAGGGTTCAGGGTTAAGGGTTTAGGGTTTAGGGTCCAGGGTTTAGGGTTTAGGGTTTAGGGCTTAGGGCTTGGGGCTTAGGGCTTAGGGTTTAGGGTTTAGGGTTTAGGGTTTAGGATTTCCCCCATACTGCGTGTGTTCACCTCCGAAAGGGTTTAGGGTTTATGGCTTAGGGTCTAGGGTCGTTCGCGAACTCATCTTGCTCATGTCGCCCACGATAATATTCCTCTGAGGCCAAAACCCTAAACCCTCAACCCTCAACCAAACCCTAAACCCTAAACCCTCCATCCTAAGCCCTCAACATAATCCATTTGTAAGGGCTTTTGGGGGACACTTCGCGAAGGGTGTGCGGCCTAAGCCTTGAGCTTCGGGTTTCGGGTTTCGGGTTTAGGGTTTAGGGTTTAGGGTTTAGGGTTTAGGGTTTAGGGTTTAGGGTTTAGGGTTTAGGGTTTAGGGTTTAGGGTTTAGGGTTTAGGGTTTAGGGTTTAGGGACTGCGCCTAAACCCTGCGCATTCGCTCTTCGAGTATTGGAGATTTAGGGTTTAGGCTTTAGGGTTTATGAGGTTTAGGGTTTAGGGTTTATAAGGTTTAGGGTTTAGGCTTTCGGGTTTAGGTCAAGCTCTGTTGTCTGGGTAAGAGTGCATTTGGGTCGCCATGCTGTTTCAGGGTGTGAGCCTTGGTCCGGCACACCTCGAGATGCTACCACTTCCAGGTCATGCACGATGCGTACTCAGTCAAAGCGCAAGCCCTAAACGCTAAACCCAAACCCCTAAACCCTAAACCCCAAACCCCAACCCCTAAACCCTAAACCCCAAACCCCAAACCCCAAACCCCAAACCCCAAACCCTAAACCCTTTCGTCCTAACCCCTTGCCTCCTTCCTGCTGGACGAGGCCGGAGCCTATTTTCATGCAGTTGGCGTGCAGGGCGTCTCCCAGGGTTTAGGGTTCAGGGTTCAGGGTTTAGGGTTTGGGGTTTAGGGTTTAGGGTTTAGGGTTTAGGGTTTAGGGTTTAGGGTTTAGGGTTTAGGGTTTAGGGTTTAGGGTTTAGGGTTTAGGGTGAATAAGGGCATACTCTGGGTCCTAGGCTCTTTTAGGGCTTCGCACGGTTCTGGGGTTTTCGGGTGCTTGGGGCTTAGGGTTTCGGTTTTTGGGCTTAGGACCCCTCAGCCATAAACCGGAAACCGACTTTAAGGTTTGCCTGTACCCTAAACCCTAAACCCTAAACCCTAAACCCTAAACCCTAAACCCTAAACCCTAAACCCTAAACCTCTCTTTCATATATAATTTTAATGTTAATGACTTACTGGGCAAGGTCATTTTTTGATAGGGCAGCGATTTTTTTCTTATGCTCCCCCCGCTTTTTCTTATGCGATCTGCCCCGGCGATTTTTTTCTTATGCTCTGCCACTTTTTTATTTATGCTCTCCCCCCCCCTTATGCTGGAAGGTGTCTTTTCTTATGCTGAAGGTGCTTTTTTTTATGCTACAGATGTCGGGGGGTTATGCTATCGGTTTCCCCCCCGAACCCTTGAAATTCTGAAATTCTGGAGGTCTAGAACCCTCTGAAGAGCGCTTAAAGCTGATACAACGACGAGCAGTTCGAACACAAGTACTCGCCCCCTCTGCCAAGCCCCTGCAAGCGCTCCAGCTGAGGGCCAAACCTCGGCACCAGAGGTACAGCGTGCGTGGGTGCGTGCGTACTTGCGTTCGTGCGTGCGTGCCTGCGTGCGCGCGCGTGTGTGCATGTGCGTGTGCACGGGACGGGGGCCCGGACTTCACAGGGCGCAATGCACGTGCGCGTGCGTATGTGCGCGTGCGTATGTGCGTGCGCGCGCGGGTGGGCATGTAGGTGTGCGTATGTGCGTGCGCGTGAGCGCGGCGGGGGCACCCACACAGGCCTCCGAGGAATTTCACATGCTCACACTCTGCGTGCAAGCCACTCTTTTTCAGGGAGGTGCTCTGTCCGACCTCTCACCCGCTCATCTTTCGCGAGGTGCTCTGTTCGACCTCGCTTTCCGCTTGGAAACACTGTATTTGCTGTACCTTCCCGGAGCGATGAGCTCACCAGACTTTAAATTCGGAGGTGCTCTGTTCGACCTCTCTCACCCGCGACTTTGGAAACCACTGTTATCGCTGCTACTGTACAGTCCCCAAAGTGGCGAGCTCAGCAGACTTTTAAATTCGGAGATGCTTTGTTCGACCTCTCTCACTCGCGACTCTGAGAACCACTGTTATCGCTGCTACACAGTCCCCAAAGCGGCGGCGAACTCAGAACTGTCCCATAACTACTTCTGGTCCACCGAGTTCTCACACAGCCAACGTGGAAAGGTGCTCGGTTCGCATCTCCGCATGGGACTAGAATAGAAAAGCTCGAATGACGGAGCCCTTCAACTTCGGTCGCCATGTACATTCTGTTCCGCTCTTGTTCTATGACCCCCGGGACACACTGTAAACCCCCCCCTTTCCCCGCCCCAAACGTGGTGCTGCATGTTTGTACTGCGTGTCCTCGTACGCAGGCATGCCCACCCCGGGACCGCTCAAACACTGCTCAAAGCAAAACCAAGGAGTTGAGACCTTCTTTTTGTTTTTTACAAAGCATCACATGGGTCAGCACTCACGCCCTTTTGGGGATCCACACGTGCGTGGACAGCTTGGGTCAGAAAGGCCAGGGCACGGTGCGTGGACCAGGCACAAAGCTTTGCAGCAGGGGAAGGACAGCTTTGGGCCACAGCCCTGCCTGCACGATGTGCGGGCTGGTCAGGGCGGGGTTGGGGGGGGGGAGGGGGTGTGACTGTTTCACCTCAGGGGTTCACCCCCCCAAACCGCTCAAACACTGCGCAAAGCGAACTTGCGACAGTGCTGCTGGCGCGTTACAGGAGGGGGGGTTGGGGGGGCGCAGCTCCCCCCCCGTTTGCGCCAAGACCGCCCGAACCCTGTTGTCAAAGCACCCTTTCGCAGAATGTCGGGCACGCCTGCGTGCGTTATGGGGTAAGGTTCGGAGGGGCGGGGGGGCCGCCGCTGTTGCGCCTCGCGAAGCGCTCAAACACTGCGCCAAGCGAACTGGCGACAGTGCTGCTGGCGCGTTACAGGGGGGGGGTTTGGGGGGGGCGCAGCCCCCCCCGTTTGCACCAAGACCGCGTGAACCCTGTTGTCAAAGCACTCTTTGCAGAATGTCGGGCACGCCCGCGTGCGTTATGGGGAAGGTTCGGGGGGGGGGGGTGAGGGAGCGCGGTTCGGCCGAAGTTTGCACCAATTACACGCCAGACATGCCAACCCAAGACCACCAACAAACACCGCTCAGAGCAGAGTGCCGCGGGAGCCGTTTCACCCCCCAAACTGCTCGACCGCTGCGCAACCAAAGACCGCCCACTTACAACTCTCAAAGAGTTAAGACCTTCTCTTTTTTTTACAAAGCATCACATTCGTCTCACACCCTTTTGGGGACCTCCACACGTGCGTGGACTGCTTGGGTTGGATCAGAGCAGAGAGGCCAGGGCCACGGAAAAGGGGCCGGCTGCGTGGACCAGGCACAAATCTTTTGCAGCAGCTTTGATCAGGTCAAGGCAGAGGGCAGTTTTTGGGCCATAGCCCTGCCCAATACGCGCAGACAGCTTGGACGGGCCGTGCCCCTTCCCCATATAGGGCGCTTGGAGTGGTGTCTGCGCGGTCTTGGCGCAAGCGCCCCCCGCAGACCTCGCCTGATAACGTGCCAGCGTTGAAACACACGTCCGCCGCGCTGCTGGTGTGGCGGGGGGGGGGGGGCTGGACATGCCACGCAGGCAAATTCAGCGTGAGCCCCACTCCACCGCAGATTTTTGGGGCCCGTTTCACCAAGGGCCAATCAAACACTGCGCAAAGCAACTGCCGACAGTGCTGGCTTGCGGACGTGTGCTTCGACGCTGGCGCGTTACAGGGCGCCCCCGGTTGCACCACGCAGACCGCGCAGACGCGGGGAGGCCCCCCCTTCCCCGCCCCCAGTTTGCGCCAAGAACGCGCGCACCTCTCGGGCACACCCGCCCCCGCCCTTGCTAACATGTGCGCTAACTTGCAGACACGTTTCAACACTGGCGCGTGTTCTGGGGGTGGGGCTCCAACTTTCGAGCTTACCGCCTTTGCTTTCTCTTGCGACCACGCGCCCTGATGACTGGCACGTTATTCAAATTGGGAGAGCCGCGCAGGCCTCCGACGAATTTCACGTGCTCGCACTCTGCGTGCAAGGCATGATGCACGCAGGTGCAGACCCGGTACCGGCAGTCGCCTGCTTGGCCGCGGGGCCAATAGGCAGTCACCCAGTGGCCCTCAGAGACCACCACGTGACCGACGAAGCACTTCTTCAGGACGATGCGGTTTAGCTGATGCCCTCCGCCACTCTTCGCGATGAGGATGCCTGCCTCGACCAGCAGTGTGGTGAGGTCATCCCCATCCTTGTACAACATCGCGCACAGCAACCTTGCCAGCTCCTGCGATACCACACATGGGCCCCCCCAAAACCAACGCACGCTGTTTTGAATGCCTTGGACTCTCGCCCCCCGCCTTGTCAACAGGCCCTGTGGGCGAGGCCATCACCCAAAAGGTGGTATACTCCGACTCCTCTGTGTTTGGACCTCGCGGCGTGCCGGTGCCTGCAACCAGAGTCGTGTCAACTTTGCCTGCGCTTTATCTAACAACGACACTCATGCGCTTGCGCCCAAGTCGCAGATGTGGAACTTCACGTAGTTCCCAGTGTCGCGTTGCCTCCAGTAGTCCACTGCAGGGGAACGACCTTGCGAACGAAGCGCTGCGCTGTTGAGCAAGTAGTCATTCTCTGCTACCGGGAAATTTGTCATCTTCATCGGCTTACCCCAATCGAAGATGCCGCGCCACTTCTTGTAGAGGTGCTGCATGCCTTGCATGGCCGAGAGAAGGCCATCCTTGGTGCGACACTTCAGCTCAGCTTCCCATGATCCATGGCGCGCCTCGAGTGGGTTGGTCCCCCCGCCAGCACCGGGACATGTGCCGAAGACTCCAACCCAAAAGCTTGGCAGCCAGAGCCGCTGCGCTCCCCGCGCCGGGGCCTGCACGGTCTTGTAGATATGGCGCAAGTCGGCGACCGTGCACTGCGTGAAGAACTCCCTCTGCAGGTACGAAGCTACCTCTGCCGGCATGTTCTCGAATACCACCTGCCAGATCGCATCCGCGAGCTGCAACGTTGGCAGGCACCTGCATGGTTGGACTCTGCACGATTCGTGTATGGCTATACTCCGCTATAGCACATCAGTTCTTCGTTAGGTCTAGCTCTGTCTCCTTTGCAACCCAAGCCCCGCCTGGTCAAGTCTGACACCTCTGACACCTCTGTCACGGTTGCGTCGCGCTTCTGCCTGCCGCGTTTCTTCGGGCCTTCCTGTTTGGGCAACTTGGCCGGGAGCGTCTTCAGCAACGACTTCTTGTAGTGAAAGTAATCTCCCGCCAAACGGGCGCCTGGAAAGACGGCCCGCCGTGCTGCGGCGATTCCCGGCGCGTAATCTGCGTGCACATGCAGCAGCTGTGACTTCAGGTTGAAACCGCCGACTTCCTGACACAACCAGCACAAGTCCTCGAAGCAGGCACACACATTCTTTTCCTTCTCACTGTGAACCAAGGCTTGCATGACTGGCTGCGCTGTGCAGGTGTGCGCCACGTAGGACTGCCGTCGCCCCCGCAACATGCCGGAACTGGTGTTTGTAAGGCGCGCACTGCTAGTGGCAAAGCACGCGGTGATCACGCCGTAGTTGTTGGCAATCGCCCCCATCTTCATATCGACTATGAGACGAAGACGGTGGTTTGCAGCATCACACAAGCGTTGCAGCATGCCTGAGCAGGTGATGGGCACGTACACCCTGTCAGCCTCCACCACGACACCGTTCGGCGACTTCAGGACCAAAAGACGCGACAGATCTTCTGCACTGCCGATCTTGTCGGGCAGGTTCGCCTCCCATTTCCTCACCTCCTCAAGAAATGATTCGATCGGTACTGCTGCAACGCTTGACGTCTGCCCCTGCTTCTGCCGCAGACGCCGAACTAGGTTGTGTAGCTGCAAAGGCTCACAGGCGAACTCTAGATTGGAAAGCTCCAGCGCTGCCCGGAGACCCCTGCTTGTGATGGTGGCCTTGGATTCCAGAACCTCGTTCACGACCTTCTGCACATCTGCCGGTAGCAGCCGACCACCTTGCGCGACGACCTTTGTCCCATGTTGGCCACGATAGTGGACCACTGCTTTCCCCTCCGCGGGGCCTTCAATGCAGATGGTCACCCGCGCCCGCAAACTGCATTTCGGCTTGCACTCGGAGCATGAGCCCCACAGCTTGTACTCCGCGCAGTTTTTTCCAGTGACGAGTCGCTTCGTGTTGAAAACCACATTGCAAGGGGGCTTTGCCTTCAGGCACTCCTTCCTTGCCACGGCAGTGGCGTCACTCAACGTCCGCGGGATCTCCTCGAGAAGGCACGCGCGAGCTTCCTTGTACGTATCCTTCTCCACTGCGTCCGACGGCGCCTTGTCGACCTGGCGACTGCTCGGCTCCCCCTCTGCTGGTGGGGTCGCCTCGCCTTGCTCCGCTCTGCCTGCCGTCGAGCTGAATAATGGCTCCGCCACGCTGTGCGACGTCTGCAGCTTCCTGCGCGCTGTCTGCTGCACCAATGTTTGGGACTGCTTCTGCACAGAGATTGCCGCCGCGGTCTCCTCCAGAAACCCCTCGAAGAAGTGCAACGGGATGGCCCATTTGCGGACGGCATCCTGCGCCCCACTTGACAAAGTCCTCCAGCCGTACTTCACAAAGGCGGGCCACGCTCCGGGGCGCAGCCGTACAACTCCAAGACCGTGACGCTCCAGATGCTGGAAAGCTGTCAGCAAATTGTTGTACGAGCTTTCTCGTTGCTGCGGATCATCGGAATACACGTGGCGAAACAGTGGAACTGTGCGTCCGGCAACATCTGCATAGATCACAGCGCCTGGCGTCGCACGTAGAAGCTTCACGGCCACCTCGGCTTGACGACATGCTGTGCAGCCTTACGGCACCCTCCTGCTGCAAGCTCTTCTCTTGCAAGGTCTTTGCACACATAATATGCTGACAAGGCACCTCCTGCATCCAAGAAACACTCTCCTTGAAAGGCCCCACAGACTTTCGCACGCCTGCCCCTTCTCTGACTCTCCAGCTGCCGCGACTGATGTCCACATCCAACATATTAAAGCCGCGAGCAAGCCGTCTGTATGTCCATTCCAAGGCTAGCTTGGTGGCGTGAGGCGAGATTTGCCGCTGCGCAATGTCGAAGGGGCGCTGCTCCACCATGGCCCCAATGGCTTCCTCGAACAAAGTTGTCAAAAGACCTTACAAGCAGCGCAAGACATGCCGTGCACACCCTCTGCTCAGTTCACACACACCCCCCCCCCCCCGGCTTTAACAGGCTCCAGACCGGCCTTCATGCGTCCAGAAGTACGAAAGCTTCTCGAACATGCTGTTGAGTGTGCCGCCGTCCGCATAGTAGGCGTTTTGCGAGGCCTCATGCATGGCCCCACGGGCCTCCATCAGCGCGGCTTTCCCAGCCGTGCTCTGACTCCACACAAGCTCCCTTCCATGTAGAGGCACCTTGTGGCCGACGTGTTGGATGAGGTTCTGAAACAGACCCGCCATGAAGTCCACGAACTTGTCCCGTAGCCCCGTAGGGTACGTCAGCTGACTGCCCCGTCGACCCGCAGAAAACACACAGCCTTATGTTGCCAGCGCCATGCCCTAGACTCTAACTCGACTCTGAAGAACCGCTAAATCACTCACTTGCACGGCCGCTACTTGTGAAAGCCATGTCCGTGACGAGTTGCGGTTAGCCAGCCCGATTTTGTGGCGAGCTTCGCTCGGCGCCCACCAAGTGCTCAGGACAGAAGGTTGTTGCAGTAGCACCATGCCAATGTTTGTTGACTCGAAGTGCACTCCGCAGTCCACCTTCTCCTCGTGCCCCGCTAGTTTGCGTGCTTTGACAGGCCTAGCCAACACGTCTGCCTGTGTGTCCCAGTCGTACCGGCCCCCGTGCGCAGCCTCCAGCAGTCGCGTTAATACAATGTGGGTCTCCTTCGTGAATTTCCCAGACTTCGCATACTCTGGACAAAGGAAAGCCGAGCCTTCTGGACCCACAAGTAACGCGTGCCCGTCGCCTTGTTGAAGTCGTGCATTGAAGGCTGCATGTGTGGACTCAGTAATGAGATGATGCTCCATCTCCACAGGACCCGCCAGCCATTGACTTGTCTTCTCTTCTGCCTCAGCTGAGCTACTTTCCTCTGCACTAAACGCGCTATACGGGCCCTCACTGTCACACTACTCACTCGTGGCACCCAGGCATTCTTCATGTTATGTGTAGGCCCCCTGCAACAGCTCGCTTGAACGCCTCCCGCACGGTCTTCATGACAGGCGACTTGCCGGTTCCGATGTCCGTCACGACCTGCGCCCAGTACCTATGTGCCAGGGTGTAGTCGGACCACTCCACGCACAACTGCCGATGCAACAGCGATGACGCAAAAGCTTTGAAGGTTTCCAAGAGCATTGTCGAGGACAGGGCCACAACGCGGGCGAACGCTTCCATGTACACTGCAAGCCGGTAGTCCGTAAGCCACCACAGCGGCGTGAAAACATCGACCTCTTCTGCGGCGGTGAGGTGTTCTGCTCGAACCGCCTTTAGTCCGGCCTGCAGACGCGTGAGACACTGCTCAAAGGTGAGCTTTGCCACATAAGTGCTACAGGCGGGGGTGTCGCGCAGAGCTTCAGCTACCGACTGCTCGCACACGGAGTTCATGAAGGCGACTACATCCTGCTCGAAGGCTCGTTCCGCATCTTCGAACCCTGCATCTGGAACGCTTCTTAGACACTCCATAGGGCTGACGGCCTGCGGCACTAAGCCATCCACGCTTGCAGCTCCACGTGGGCGACCCAGCCCGGCAGCCTCGTCGACACCCTGCGCCTGCCCTGTTGACGAAGGACTTTGCGATTGCACCTTCTCACATGACAGATATGTCGGTGTTGCGGCGGCCTCCTTGTCTATCGTGCCTCCGAGATGTTCCGGCGATGTGTCTGCTGCCGTGGAGGCGTCCAGACGCGTGGCCACCGACTGCTCTGGCAGATCTGTCGTGACCTTCTGGAGCAACATGTAGTACAGCTCGCCGCTTGCGGCGCCCGCTGCCAAGTCCGCCACTGAGTCAGCCACAACATCCGCGACAGTCGTGTCGTTGAAGACCCGCCGATGCCCTTCTGGGTCGTAAGCGACAGCATAATAGTGACCCCCGTTTGGCGTTGCGCCTATGTGATGTACCGTGGCCACTACGTGGTAGACGTGTCCCTGGACCTGGACGATCTCGGCAAAGTTGACCTGGGTTTTGTCTTTGTGTTGGATGAAGCGCCCGTCACTGACCGCGGTGCGCCAGCGCTTCACGGCTGCAACAAGGACTGTTGGAGGCTGTCGAATTTTCAGCTGTCTCAACGGCAGGCGACAGGATTCGCAAGAAGGACACTGCCACGCTCGGTCACAGTACTTCACATCCTCTGGGGCAAGCGTGGACCGAAAGTAGTTGTCGACTACCCCTTGCATGTCACTGACACCGCCCGGCAGCTCCATTTGCATCTCTGACATAGCCGTTGCTGACCCTTGCGCAAACGTCCCTCCACAGTCTTGGCAGCGAAGCTGAAATTGCTCCACGCCTGCAGTTTGCGCAGTCAGCCCCGCCTGCTCGCTCACGGCGTGCAGAAACTCGAGGCTATCCTCCTGCTCTCCGTGATACTACTTCTGTAAAATTGTCTCAGGGTTCACTATGGAGGAGCACTGCAGCCGATGCAACAGAGCCAGGAGATCCACGGCAACCTCACCGTCTAAGCGCCTGAGCATGCGTCGCCAAGGCGTCACGGTGTAGAGCGCCTGCAGGGCTGCATTGATGAAGCAGCTGTTGCCTGCGTTCACCAGTCCCCCACGCTGAGCCCCGCATTCCACTGCGTCGTCGGGAGGACAAAAACCAACCCACGTCGTTGGACCTGGGATGCGCTTGAACTGCACCGGCTCTGGCAGACGACGCAGTTCGATGAGTGGCCAGAGATGCGTTTGCCTGTACGGCAGCGCATCCACGGCAACGCCGTGTTCACCTTGGTAATCTCGGAACTCCTCCAAGCTCCCTGCGACGAAGGATTGTCCGAAGCGACCCCACGCATGGACCCAGCCATCGACACCCAGCCAAGCACCGCCCGGTGTGCATGCTAGATGCCGCACCTCCATCGTTTTCTCCTTTCGTAGAACCTGCTGCAGGATCTCACGTTTTTGAAACAGCAGAATTCGCTCACCTGGACTCGGGTCCGTGTCTCCGATGGGGTGCTTTCTGGGCAGCGCCTTTGCCGCGTCGATGAGCGGCTGCCCCTGCTCTTGCTCTGACGATACGAGCGGGGGGCACGACATGTCACGGAAGCCTCTGCGCAACAAGTGTCTTCACAACACACACCTACAAACAGCGGCGGCTGAATGCAACACTGAAATGATTGCGCATGTGCGCAAGACGGACGCATCCACGTCTGCGGCTCACTGCAATTTAGCCCCCGACGCTGGCCGTCGGCATGACCACGTTCCAGCCATCAGCGCTCCTGCAGGCCATCTTGCATTTTCAATGTCTCGCCCTCCCCCCCCCCCCCCCGCCCCACAACAGGTCTCGTGCGCTCGGTTGACCCGAGCACGCGCCAGACAGGCCACCCTTGAGGACCCCCTGTCCCCTCTTGCCCTCGTCCCCTTTTGGTGTTTGTTGGGATGTAATCAGAACTTGTAAACTGTGTAAAAGCACCTGCGTGTGGTCAAGAAGCCTTGCCTCCCTAATTTAGTTGGGTCGGGATGTGATCATGTGTCAATGCAGCCAAGGAGCCTTCCGTTTCCCGTTATAGGATTACCCCTTTATTTTGGTGTTCCATAAACTCCTTCGGACAACTTCAGGGAGGTGGAACAATCTTGTCCTGGCCAAGTCTGCTCCGGACTCCTTCATATAGGTGGAACATCCTCCTGGGCAGGTCTGAGCTCTGGAACCCCTTCATATAGGTGGAACGGCCTGAGCTCCGGACTCCTTCATATAGGTGGAACATCCTCCTGGGCAGGTCTGAGCTCTGCAACCCCTTCATATGGGCGGAAAGGTCTGAGCTCCGGACCCCTTCATATAGGTGGAACATCCTCTGGGCAGGTCTGAGCTCTGGAACCCCTTCATAAAGGTGAGGTGGAACATCCTCCTGGGCAGGTCTGAGCTCCGGACCCCTTCATATAAGTGGAACGGTCTGAGCTCCGGACCGCTTCATACAGGTGGAACATCCTCCTGGGCAGGTCTGAGCTCTGGAACCCCTTCATATAGGTGGAACGGTCTGAGCTCTGGACCCCGTCATATAGGTGGAACATCCTCTGGGCAGGTCTGAGCTCTGGAACCCCTTCATAAAGGTGAGGTGGAACATCCTCCTGGGCAGGTCTGAGCTCCGGACCCCTTCATATAAGTGGAACGGTCTGAGCTCCGGACCGCTTCATACAGGTGGAACATCCTCCTGGGCAGGTCTGAGCTCTGGAACCCCTTCATATAGGTGGAACGGTCTGAGCTCTGGACCCCGTCATATAGGTGGAACATCCTCTGGGCAGGTCTGAGCTCTGGAACCCCTTCATAAAGGTGAGGTGGAACATCCTCCTGGGCAGGTCTGAGCTCCGGACCCCTTCATATAAGTGGAACGGTCTGAGCTCCGGACCGCTTCATACAGGTGGAACATCCTTCTGGGCAGGTCTGAGCTCTGGAACCCCTTCAAGGTGGAACGGCTGAGTTCATATAGGTGGAAATAGGTGGAACATCCTCCCTGAGCTCTGGAACCCCTTCATATAGATGGTACGGTCTGAGCGCCGGACCCCTTCATATAGGTGGAACATCGTCCCCCTTCATAGAACAGGTCTGAGCTCTGGAACTCCTAGAAAGGTGGAACGGTCTGAGCTCCGGACTCCTTCATATAGGTGGAACATCCTCCTGGGCAGGTCTGAGCTCTGGAACCCCTTCATATAGGTGGAACGGTCTGAGCTCCGGACCCCTTCATATAGGTGGAACATTCTCCTGGGCAGGTCTGAGCTCTGGAACCCCTTCATATAGGTGGAACGGTCTGAGCTCCGGACTCCTTCATATAGGTGGAACATCCTCCTGGGCAGGTCTGAGCTCTGGAACCCCTTCATATAGGTGGAAACGGTCTGAGCTCCGCTTCATGGTGGAACTTCTTCTTGGGCAGGTCTGAGCTCTGAAACCCTTTCATATAGGTGGAACGGTCTGAGCTCCGGACCCCTTCAAAAAGGTGGAACATCCTCCTGGGCAGGTCTGAGCCTTACCGCACTCCTCCGTGGCACGTGTCAGCACCGGACCCCTTCAAGCAGGTAGAGCACACTCGTCCTGGACGGATCTGTTTCCACCAACTCCTTCGGACCCTTCCAGAAGGTGAACAATCTCGTCCTGGGCAGGTCTGTGCTTTGAACCCTTCATAGTGGAACAAATTCGTTCTAGGCAGGTCTGCGCTCTGGACCCCTTCCGAAAGGTGGAACAAACTCCTCCACGCAACACACTCGTCCTGAACAGGTCTGTGCTCTAGGCCCCTTCATTTTGGTGGAACAAACTCGTCCTCGGCAGGTCAGCTCTGGACCCTTTCAGAAAGGTTGGAACAAACTCCTCCGTGGCAGGCCCGAGCTCCGGACCCCTTCAAAAACGTAGAACATGCTCGTCCTGGGCAGGTCTGTGCATTGGACCCCTTCGGAGAAGTGGAACCAACTCCTTCGTGGCAGGTCTGAACTGAACAAACTGTCCTGGGCAGGGCTGTGCTTTGGATCCCTTCAAAAAGCAGAAACGAGCAGGTCTGCTCGCTGGACCCCTTCCTCTAGGTGGAACAAACTCCTCCACAGCAAACCCTTCACATACGTGGAACACACTCGTCCTGGGCAGGTCTGTGCTCCGGACCCCTTCACGTTGGCGGCGGACTCCTTGAAAAAGGTGGAACAAACTCGTCCTGGGCAGGTCTTACTTTATACCCCTTCACAGAGGTGGAACAAACTCGTCCTGAGCAGGTCTGAGCTCTGAGCCCCTTCATAAAGATGGAACAAACTGCTCCGTGGCGGGTCTGCGTCAAAAAGGTCGAACACACTCGTCCTGGGAAGGTCTGTGCTCTGAACCAGAGCCCGAGCGGTCGTTGCCGAGCTAGGCAGAGCCCGAGCAGCTAGCAGCATTGCAATTTGGTAACGTTTGCAAGCTGCCGCTGGAGGGTTCGGCCTCCAGCCTGGGCCTGGAACTGACGCATTACAGGGCCTAGGTAGGCTAATTAAGTGTGCCCGGCGAGCACGCAAATGCAGCCACGGAGCCTTGCATCCCCCTCCCTACTTGGGTCGGGATGTGATCAGGGCCGGTCAATCTGCAAGGGCCAAAACCAAGCCCCAGGCCGCCCGCGCGGGCCAGGACAATGGCCAGACCCTTGAGTGCCCAACAGGGCCGGTCAATCTGGAAGGGCCAAAACCAAGGCCAAGGCCGCCTGCGCGCGGGCCAGGACAAGGCCAGACCCTTGAGTGCCAACAGGGCCGGTCGATCTGGAAGGCCAAAACCAAGGCCAAGGCCGCCCGCGCGCGGGGCCGGTCAATCTGGAAGGGCCAGAACCAAGGCCAAGGCCGCCCACGCGCGGGCCAGGACAAGGCTGCAGCAGAACCCTCCCTAATTAGGTCGGGATGTGACAGAGCCTCTGTGCCTTCCCTCAAGGCTGGGATGTGATCAGGGCCTGTGCTCCGTACTGCTCCGTCCCTGTCCCTTGTCCCTATCCCCTCCCCGCCGTGTCCCCTGTCTCGTCACGGGTCCCTTGCCCCCTGTGTCACCACCTGTGTCGTCCCGCGTCTTTCCCTCTGCGTCCCCTGCGTCGTCCCCTGAGTCGTCCCCTGCGTTGTCCCTTGTTGCGCCTTGTCCCCTGCGTTGCCCCCTGCGTTGTCATCTGTAGTGTCCCCTGTCTTGTCCCCTGCGGTTCTTCCTGTGTAGTCCCCTGCGTCATCCCCAGTGTTGAACTCAGTGTTGTCCCCCTGTGTTGTCCCCAGCGTCGTCTGCTGCGTCGTCCCTGATTTGCTTGTCCCCGTTTTGTCCTGCGTTGTGTCATGTGTCGGCCACTGCGTCGTCCCCTATGTCGGTCGTCCCCTGCGCTGTCCCCTGCGTCGTGCCCTGCGTTGTCCCCGAGTTGTCCCCTGTGTTGTCCCCGCGTTGTCCCCTGTGTTGTCCCTCGCGCTGTCCCCGTGCGTTGTCCCCTGCGTTGTTTCCCGTGTTCTCCTCTGCATCCTCCCTTTTGTGTCCCCTGTCTTGTCCCCTGCGTTGTCCCCGCGGTGTCCCCTGCGTTCTCCGCTTTCCTGTGTTGTCCCCTGCGTTGTCCCCGTGGTGCTGTCCCTGCGTTGTCCCCTGTCTTGTCCCCTGTCCTGTTGCCTGCGCTGTGTTGTCTCCTGTGTTGTCCCGTGTTGTCCCTTGTGTTGTCCCTCGCCTTGTCCCCCTGCGTTCTCCCCTGCGTTGCTTCCTGCGTTGTCCGTTGTCCCCGAGTTGTCCCCTGCGTTGTCCCCGCGTTGTCCCCTGTGTTGTCCCTCGCGCTGTCCCCGTGCGTTGTCCCCTGCGTTGTTTCCCGTGTTCTCCTCTGCATCCTCCCTTTTGTGTCCCCTGTCTTGTCCCCTGCGTTGTCCCCGCGGTGTCCCCTGCGTTCTCCGCTTTCCTGTGTTGTCCCCTGCGTTGTCCCCGTGGTGCTGTCCCTGCGTTGTCCCCTGTCTTGTCCCCTTTCCTGTTGCCTGCGCTGTGTTGTCCCCTGTGTTGTCCCGTGTTGTCCCTTGTGTTGTCCCTCGCCTTGTCCCCCTGCGTTCTCCCCTGCGTTGCTTCCTGCGTTGTCCCCCGAGTTGTCCCCTGTGTTGTCCCCGCGTTGTCCCCTGTGTTGTCCCTCGCGTTGTCCCCTGTGTAGCCCCCTGCGTCATCCCCAGCGTTGAACTCAGTGTTGTCCCCCTGCGTTGTCCCCAGCGTCGTCTCCTGCGTCGTCCCTGATTCGCTTGTCCCCGTTCTGTCCTGCGCTGTGTCATGTGTCGTCCGCTGTGTCGTCCCCTATGTCGTCCCCTGCGCTGTCCCCTGTGTCGTGCCCTGCGTTGTCCCCCGAGTTGTCCCCTCTGTGTTGTCCCCGTGTTGTCCCCTGTGTTGTCCCTCGCGCTGTCCCCGGTGCGTTGTCCCCTGCGTTCTTTCCCGTGTTCTCCTCTGCGTCCTCCCTTGTGTCCCCTGTGTTGTCCCCTGCGTTGTCCCCTGTGTTGTCCCCTGCGTTGTCCCCTGTGGTGTCCCCTGTCTTGTTGCCTGTGCTGTGTTGTCCCCTGTGTTGTCCCCGTGTTGTCCCTTGTGTTGTCCCTCGCTTTGTCCCCATGCGTTGTCCCCTGCGTCGCTTCCTGCGTCGTCCCCCTCCCCGGTCTTGTCCCCCTGTGTTGTCCCCAGCGTCGTCCCCGTGTTGTTTTGTCCTGCGTTGTGTCCTGTGTCGTCCACTGTCTCGTCCCATACGTCGTCCCCTGTCCTGTCCCCTGTGTGGTGCCCGGCGTTGTTCGGTGTTGTCCCCTGCGTTGACCCCGTTGTTTCCTGCGTCCTCCCTTGTGTCCCCTGTGTTGTCCCCTGTGTTGTCCCCTGTGTTGTCCCCTGTCTTGTCCCCTGTGTTGTCCGCTGCGCTGTCCCTTGTGTTGTCCCCTACCTGTTGCCCATGCTGCGTTGTCCCGTGTGTTGTCCCGTGTGTTGTCCCTTGTGTTGTCCCCCGTGTTGTCCGCGCGCGTTGTCCCCTGCGTTGTTTCCTGTGTTATCCTCTGCGTTGTTCCCTGTATCGTCCATCCCCTCTCTGCTGCCCCCTGTGTTGTGCCCCACGTCGTCCCAAGCGTCGTGCCACCCCTGCGTCGTCCCCCCGCTGCATCGTCCCCTGCGTCCCCTGCGCCGTCCATCCCCTGCGTCGTCCCTGTGTCGCCTGTCGCCCTGTCCCCCGTCCACTGTCCCCCCTCCTTCTCCCTTGTTCGCTTTATCCCCGTTTTTTGTGTCCCACCTTTCCTCCCTTCAGCTGTGCCCCTGTCCCGTCCCTCCAGCGCACCTCCATCCCCATGTGCAGCGACAGCCTAGACCCTGAACCGTAATCCTAAACCCTCAAACCTAAACGCGAAGCCCTAAAGCATAGACGTTAAACTCTCTCACCAGTGCCTCCCTCTGCAACCCTACACCCTTGTGCAGCAGCCTTCTGAGGGCTTCGGCTAACAGCGACTAAGCCCTAAACCTAAGCCCTAGACCCTAAACCCTAATTAAACCCTAAACCCTAAACTTAAACCCTAAACCCTCAAACCTAAGAGCGCAACCCTAAACCATAAACCTTAAACTCTGTCAATGGCGCCCTTGGCTCACACTTGCTGTACAAAGAGGGGAAACACTACTACTAGTTTAAGCCGTCATTTCTCATCGAGTGCCAGTACTCTGTGCCGCGGCGCGGGCCGTGCCAGTTGCGCCACCAGTTCTGCTGCGAGGAGCTCTTTTGATGCCACGACCGCCGGCCTGACTCCTGCTCACGAAGAGGAGGCTGTGGCGCAAGCACGGCCTGTTCCTGCTCGGCCTTCCTTTTCTTGAGTTCCTGCAGACTCTTCTCCGCCTCGACGCGCGCCAGCTTTGTTTCTTCCAGTTTCACTCTAAGGCGAAGGGTCTCAGCTTCGCTGTGCTTGCCTGGCGCCGCCGTGGAGGACTGCAAGGTCGATGCCACTACTTTCACGGCCGGAATGCCGCGGCCAGCACTTGGCGCTGCCGGGGGTGCAGGTGCAGCCTTGCGAGGCTTGCCCGGCTGCGCGAGAGGCTGCAGTGACGATCTCCCAGCTTGTTGCGGTTTGCCGGACTGCGCGGTTGCCTTCGTAGCCTTCTTCGGCTTCACTGCACCAGACTTGGGACACTCGCTCTGTGCAAAATCTACTAGTGGTGTGCGGTTGCAGGTGCATCGATCTTTCCCCCATTTACCGCACCACGCGCATTTACTACGCGTCATCTTTTATGCGTGAGCCGAAACTTCCGGCCGCTTTCGTGCATCTACGCTGCGATTTCCCAAATTTCTTTCGAGTGCTATCGTGCTGAGTTTATATACCTCTTCGTTTCTGTTGCTTAGACTTTCATGTAACCTTGACAGAAACCACAATTTCTATTCATCTCTCAACCTACTTTACCCTGGCCCCTAACCCTGAACCCTCTAACGACATCACCACAGAGCACTGGCCCGCTGACCTGATGGGATCAAGTTTATGAGTTCAGGGTTCAGCTCGAAAGTTGAAAGCTTTATCAAGTTTGCAGATTCGGGTTGCTTGCGCTTTGACGATGCCGTCGCCTAACATAACTGTGTAACTGTATAAAGCTCGGAGGGGGCAGGGATGCCTCGATGGGAAGCGGTTGTAAACGTGGAGGGGGTGGGGAGGGATGGGGGGGGTTGGGGGGGGGAAGGGGAGGGGGGGGGGTGACTTGGGTGGTGGGGGGAGTGGGGCTCAGCACCAAAAAATAAAACAGGTCGCACAAAGAAGGCCCTGCGGGGGAGGGGGGGGGGGGGGGGGCTGGGGGGGGGGGACTGTGGGTGGGGCGGGGGGGGGGGGGGGGGGTACTGCAGCAGGGTGGAACGGGGGGGGGGGGGGGGGGGGGATGGGTGGGCATAACAGGAGGACGGATCAGCATAAAAAAAGGACAGGTCAGCATAAAGAAAAAACCGGTGAGGATAACAAGAGAAGTGGTAGCATAACCAAGGGACTCCGGAGCATAAAAAAAGAAACGGTGCAGCATAAGGGATCGGGACGGCTTCCGGGACACACAGAGAATAAGAAAAAAAGCGCATAGCATAAGAAAAAAAACCCAGCCCTCATTTTTTTACTGGGTAAGGTCCTTTTTTTACTGGGCAAGGTCACTTTTTACTGAGCAAGGTCATTTTTTACTGGGCAAGGTCATTTTTTGCTGGGCAAGGTCATTTTTTCTGGGCTAGGTCATTTTTTTGCTGGGCAAGGTCATGTTTTTTATTGGGTCATCTTTTTACTGGGAAAGGTCGTGCCATAAGTGAAATATTTTCTTAATGTTGTGGGATTGTTTGGGCGGGTGGGTATTTTTCTGGAGTAATTTCTTGACTAGTGAATGCTTGGAATTGAAATGCTGAACCCCAAACCCTAAACCCTAAAC